GTTCAACTGCAACACCCGCTGACTGCAATGATAGAGCTTGGAATAGCCAGGACAATTTTTAATATAACTCCGACTGGATTCGTCTGAAAGAAGAAAGTCATATACACCTAGGATGCTTCGAGGGCGAGTAAAACACAGTCTAATTTTCATTTTTGGGTGAACTAACCCTTTAAGTAATTTCACCCTTCTGCTAGAAGAGGCTCTTTATGTTGAATTAGTAGAATAGAGTATGAAAGGTTCCTCAGGTGCTTTATATGACCATTTTATCTTCTGCTGGCTATATAATTGGCAGAATAATGAGAAGGAAACTCAGTGGTCCGTTTTTGTAGATGCTCAGGCTGAAAAGAGCACAGCTGACAACATCATATAATAAGAGTGATGGATGAGGAAGAATGCAGCCGTTTTATCACAGTCTCCGAATCTTTTTGACAGACTGCATGTGAGAAATAACAACATGAAATTGAATCAGTCAAGGATCAGCCCAAAATCAGCTGTGGCTAATGTGGTTTTCAAACCGGCTTCTGCTCTCCATAAAATTGATTCTTCTCGTTTTCTTTTCCTTGCAGTGGAAAATGTTAGCAACAGCCTAGCTGCAGGTAAGCAAACCAATGTTTTGATATATTGTACTTGAAAGTGTTATTTATAGTAGTATTTTTATATATTAATTTATATTGTAGTATTATTTTGTTTTTTAGTTTAAGTTTTAGTATTTTTTCTTATGTGCTTTTGTCATTTTTATTGTTTTTGTTTATTTTAATTAATGCTTTGAATGTATTTATTTACCTTTAATTTGTTTTTATTTTAGTTTTAGTCATTTTAGTACTTCAACGTAAACGTATTTTATTTCTGTTCGTTTCAGAGACAGCATTTCAAATTTTCGCACACGTTATTTTATTACTGAATCTTATTTGATTAGTTTTAGTTGTAGTTAACAATAACAACACTGGTATTTGAGACGTTCAAAAATACATATTATTATATTGAATATTTTAAAATAAATGTACAGTGTAAAATATCAAAACCTTACTAGGACTAATTACTAGCCTGGTGAAGCATGAATCGTGTATAACATGGAAGTATGTTCTTCTTTCTGGGTAGCAATTTGTGAAAAGACCAGTTTTTTTATATGCATGCGAGCTTACATTAGCTGCCCAATGCTAATAATGTTAACTCTCCCACTGCTGTGTTTGTCAATCAAAGTCATAGCTTACCCTCCTCCTATATGCAATGGAGGTATTGGAGGTAAGACTCAGCCTTTTTTAATGTGGCTCCAACATCATCATTACCATGAATGAAAAGTGACTCTTCCCAATGCATGCTGGGAGAGTTTGATATGTGGTTTCCACGTGCATGATCACATTTGTGTCATGAATTATGCTCCTAATGTGATCTGGCTGTCTTCTTATAGCTTGTCACATTACTGTAATTGCACCTTGCCTTCATTAATTATATTAACACTGCTTGGAAAATGGCCCAAAATGATCCGAAGATTATAGCTGTTCAGTCTCAGACAATATATTAAGTGGCTTTTTGGAGAGGGACCAAGTTTCAGATGCTTTAGGGATGTGCATCGTTTTGGTTTTTTATAGGGCAATTAATAGAGATAATAAGACTGACATCAGCAAATACTGGTTTAGTCTGCCATAGAGGAGAGTTGAAAGCACGTACTGTATATCATTCATTAAAAGGTTTGACCGCTGATATTAACCGGCTAAAAGGATGTCAAATAAGAAAGACAGTGTGTTAAAGAAGTGTTCCGGGTTCAGTAATACAGAAAATAATATTTACTCTTTGCTGAAGTTATTGTTAAAGCAAAAATATCAGTTTTATAAGGACTTTTAATTTAAAATAACTGGATAAAATTGAAAATAAAATCTTTTTATTAAGGTCTAAATTATTGTCCTTTAACAAAAAATCACATTTCTGCTTGTAGATATTTAATGTGCATTTCCCTTTTTATTTCTATTAGAACTGCTTTTATTAAATTGAGGGATGAGTCAAGAACATTTTCTGTCTCATTCTGTTTAATTGAAAATATGTTTTGAATAGTTTTCTTTATTTTTAAAGAAAAATCAATTATTGTCTTTATTTTTTAAAGAAGAATGAATGTTCTTTAACAAAAATTCTAATTTCATTCTGCTTTCAAATATTTAAGGCACACATCCCTATTTATTTCCATTATAACTGCTTTTATTATGGGACGTAATCGAATCTGTGCATAATTAAAAAACGCATTTGATAGAGTTTAAAGTTGTATCGAGTTTTAATTAAAATCAAAATCTGAACTGAATTTAAATTGATTTTAAAATTATTTGTTTTTCAAAACTGAAAATAAAAAATTTGAACTGAATTTAAATGTAATTTAAAACGATGTTCTTCAAAACTTATTTTATATTCTTTATTTTAAAAAGGAATTAATGTCCTTTAACATAAATTCACATTTTAGTGATTTTTAAATATTTAACACACATGTCCTCATTTATTTCCACTTTTAAAATGCTTTTATTAAATTACGTGACGAGCCGAAAACATTTACTTTCGTAATCAAAAAATGATTGAGTTTTATGTTGTATTGAACCTGGAACAGGAATGAAAATTAAATGACATATTTTACTGCTCAAAATTTCTTGAGTATTTCTTGTAAAATGTCATTGCATATGCAGCTATGTACAACAATCTTTCCCAAAGCGGAAAGAAAACCTCATTACACACAAGCAGAGCAGACACAAGATCGATAGACTATTAAACAAGATCTCAAACCTTCCCTATATTGTCTTGCAGATGGTGTGCAAGTAGCTCAGCTGGGCGGCGTTGATGAGAACCTGTGCCGTATCTGCATGGATGCCGTGATAGACTGCGTTCTGCTGGAGTGCGGTCACATGGTCACCTGCACCAAGTGCGGCAAGAGGATGAGCGAGTGCCCCATCTGCAGGCAGTACGTGGTGCGGGCAGTGCACGTCTTCAAGTCTTAACGGGTGAGCTTCACCTCTACTGGATAGCCAACACACCAGATGCTTCCTGCTGGACCGAGCAGGCTGGGGCCACGACTGGACCAATGAACTGCCCCTTTAGATTCAAAGTGGTGGAAACCTGTACTGCGCACACCTTCTTTACAGAGCGAGCATTTCCTGCTGCCCATTTTTATTTGGTCATTCATTGACACGTTTGAAATCATTTCTGCGGTTACTGACCCAGGGAAGGTTTAGAGGAATAACGTATAAAAAATATGAAAGTTTAAGTGGTTTACAGTACATTCCTGTAAACTTTTTGGAAATGTTTTATTGTATGTGCAATATTAGAAATCTTTACGTGTGCGTGTAGAGAAACCGATTGCCATTAAGATGCATGTTGTCGTAGCAGCAGTTAAGACCATTGGCGTGAAGGGGGAACGTACTGTAGGTGCCAAAGTAGAAATGTGCAGAACGGCTTCTGGATTATATTATTAATAAGCGTGTTATTTTCATGTATTAAATCAGCTATTGCCATACCACAAATCAGCATCCATGACACCGGATCAAATGACCAGCTAGCAGAAGGGTTATTTATAGCAAGATTATAGAAACTGTATCGTATTTTTTCACAGAGTCACTGGAATCCAGCATCTGCCGCTATGTAGCTTATTACTGGAACCTCAATTACTTTTTTCAAATTTTGCAGTATCTGTCGAACGTCAGGTGTGTGGTTGGTTTGTCTCCATTGTGCTGCATATACAAGTTACTTAAAGGTGTGCTAAGTCATTTTTGATTAATTAAAAGTGTCAGATGATTGGGTGGTTACCAGGGCAAAGGAAGTTAGGCTGGTCATGTGATCTCAACGGTAAGGAAGTCTCACCTTTGTAGATCAAAACCTTTTTTGGAGTCTCACATGAGTGTACAATATTAAAACATTTGTCAAAGCAATATTTATTGGTATAGAAGTTGGTAAAAAAAAATTCTCAGTGCACCTTTAAGCCTTGGTAGGTTTCACTTGCAAAATATTCGGTTTTTATAGTGGGTCAAAAAGACCATTTTGAGTTTGATGTTCTTCATCTCCAGCGATACCATGAAAGACGTCTGTTTTTTGGTGAGTTGTGTTGTACCACATTTACATGACATAAGAGATTTCCACAAGCGGTGCTACATGGATTTACGTATCACAGTACTTGCACAGTACATGCCCTTTGTTGCTGTGAATTCTGTAGTCAAATACAAGTTATTAGGTCTGTGGTATTGGCTAGACAAACAAATATAAAGGAACATTTAATCAATTAAACATAAATGATTTTATATACATGTGAAAAAAGTTGTACGCAAAGTATATGGATATATTTTCCTCTGTTGTCCAGTTTTTCTTGCACTTTCTTTTAAATGTTTCGTCCCCCTTCAGCGTTCCAGTTTTTCCTTGAATGTAAACAACATTTATTTAGTTGTTTATATTTTAAATCAGTCACAAATAATTCTATAGTAGAATTGATTACATTCTGGTGTCACATCCATGTATTTCTATAATCAGACTATTTTTAATTTGCTTCTAGAACATCTCCACACCCGTCTGCCCAACACTGACACTGTGCTTATGTGTATGTTTCTAATGCTGCTATCTCTAAAAGATGTCACTTGGTAGTAGGCAACTACTCTAGCTGAGCATACAAGATTACACTATAAATGACTTAAACTGAGCGCTGGAAGACGTTTTGGGGTCTGGTCTTTGTATTTTGGAATGTTGAACTTTTTTTGGTAATTCAAAGATGATTTATTAAATTTACATTCTGGTGTCACATCCATGTATTTCTATAATCAGACTATTTTTAATTTGCTTCTAGAACATCTCCACACCCGTCTGCCCAACACTGACACTGTGCTTATGTGTATGTTTCTAATGCTGCTATCTCTAAAAGATGTCACTTGGTAGTAGGCAACTACTCTAGCTGAGCAGACAAGATTACACTATAAATGACTTAAACTGAGCGCTGGAAGACGTTTTGGGATCTGGTCTTTGTATTTTGGAATGTTGAACTTTTTATTTTGGTAATTCAAAGATGATTTATTAAATTTAATAAAATATGGTACCTTGAACTAACAAAATAAAGAGTTTTCTGATTTCAGTGTTTATTTTTTTCCTCAGTTGCAAACGATGAAATGCTAATCGGCGCCCTCTAATGCCTGCGAAGTGCAACGCAGTCATAGGAATACGTTACTCTCAGTCAGACGCAAGAGGATGAAAATAACTTTTTATTCATGGCACAATACACGGATATGGTTGCTGGTTATTCTGGAGAACGGATTCGCTAAGGTATGCCTGTCTGTATGTGATAATGTGCTATATTTACTCAATTAGAAGTCTTAACACGAGAGTGAGGAAAAAGGCGGCAAAAAAAGGTAGGAGGAAAATCGTAATTGCTTGAACCGATCTTAATTTATGAAATAATCCAATGCTGTGTATCGTTTTCTGCACAAAATATACCAAATTGCTCACACAGTCAAAATTCTGTTAAGTAAAACATCAATACTGCAAAAAAATATAAGTATTTATTCAGGTCAAACAGTGCAAATACGTTTTTCCCCAGATATATACATATTAAAGAAGCCCAGGTAAGTAATAGTCGTATGGAAAAGAGAACGTACCTGTAGAACATCTTATAACATTAGAAGACATTACATCTTAAATTAACATTACAAAAACATCTGCAGTTACTATAGCTAGTATAGATGGGATCTGCTTAACTTCCTACTGCGTAGAAAAAAATAAACTTTGTACTGACTGAATACTGTCAATAAAGTCTATATTTATTTTAGTCATTTAGCAGACGCTTTTATCCAAAGCGACTTACAAATGAGGACAATAAAAGTACTAATAAAATACTATATATATTTATATGAGTGCAGTTAATACTGCACAAAGTGTGAAATCCCTTCTGATACAAAAATTAACACTGCATGAAGCTTAACGTTTGCATGGTAACGAAAAAAGCACATGCATTTTGAATTTTTCTTTTCCAAAAAAGAAAATAACAGTCGGTTTTGTCACTGCAACACTGCACTGTGTGACTATAAAACCTTTTTTTTTATTTTTTTTATAACATTTATGCAAAATATATTAGTAAACATGCCTTTCAACAGCATTTTAACATTGGCATGCTCTGCTAGCTGTGCCTTGTAAACATAAAAACCAATAAAAGTTTGCCTTAGCAGCACAACATAAACAAATTGAAAACAATAAAACAGATTGAAAGGCTGAATTGGCCACCAGAGATGAATACATTTCTTCACTTGTGAGCTCTGATGTCGATGAGTTCAGGCATTTGCTTGGCACGTGTCGTTTAGCAATATGCCATTTTTCTCTTTGCTGGTTTTCTGTTAAGCGTGTTAGGCCTCACACATCCTGTGTTGAAAAAGTGTAGAAAATGGAGGGTGAAATTGTTAGTTCCCTGGGTTCTAGGTCGAGTTATTGTCAGTGTCTTTGTTGACTAGCTCAGTTTGCTCAGTAGTTTTTCTTCAATCAGTCTGAACTGCACGCTGACAGACATCTCTGCGATGAACTGCTCACAACCCTCTTTGGTCACCTGTTTGCAGTACCGCAGGTCGATGTGACAAATGTTTCCGCAGCGCTTGAAGTAGGTCAACGACAGGTCTGTAACTTTGTTACAAACTGTGGAGGAAAGGAAAAGGGATTTAGAGCCACAGCAACTCAGATTTACATTAATGCTTGACCTCAGCAGCAAGTGAAGAGTAGAGGCCTTGCTGTTTTATGCACTGCATCTTGGGAAAAGCATGAAGCAAGATAGCAATCTTATCAGATTAAGATGAGTTTGTGTATATTAGGGTTGTGCCGATAGACGATAGTCAGAGATATCGACGATAGCACATGTCTTTGTCTATAGTCAAGACGATATTAGGCTCATTCTCCTATAAATGTATTAAATTATTATTATTATTATTAGGCGGCCTATTATAATTCGGCTATTATTATCATATTGCCCCGCTATTTCACTTCAGCACCGCATTTCACACTCGCGCAAATGACGATTAGAGCCTGTAGCCAGTGAAGGAGTCTCCAACCACAAACACAAACGTACATCGTCTGCTGATATAAGGCATTTAATTGCATTTTAACAAGTAATCTGAACGGTCTATATATGTGCAATATTTTAACCGAGCCCTCACTAACTGAGTTTAATGCCACAGTTATGTTAGAACGCATCTCATCCTTGTTTCTGTGGCGGTGCGTCGGGCTCGTCATGGGGCACGCGGTCCGAAGCGCTGTATGACTGATTTATCTGTTCAATTTAACTTTACTCCAAATATATGAACTTACCTGTTTTAAATACGTTTATATTTAACGTGTTTGTTTATGTCCAATATTTAGTGTTGAACTGTTGTTCTTTAAAATAAATCTACTTTTGATTTTCACTGTTGACTGCAGACCTTTTAGACTGATAACGTCTGTGCTCTGATGCGGCAAACTTGTCGTATACGAATATATAGGGCTGGACGATATGGCCAAAATTGATATCACGATATATTTCTTAATTTCGGTCGATACGATATAATTCCGATATCGATATGAACACTATTTATCTGAAATAGAAATCTTTTGTAACATTATAAATGCCTTTATCATCACTTTTGATCAATTTTAAGCATCCTTGCTAAATAAAAGTATTAATTTCTATAATTTCTTTCCCAAAAAAATAATAAAAATTATACTGAATGGAATAGTGTATAATGTTACAAAAGCTTTTTATTTCAGATAAATGCTGATCTTTGGATCTTTCTATTCATCAAAGAATCCTGAAAAAAAAATGTACTCAACTGTTTTAAATATTGATAATCAGCAAATCAGCATATTAGAATGATTTCTGAAGGATCATGTGACACTGAAGACTGGAGTAATGATGCTGAAAATTTACCTATGTATGATCACAGGAATAAATTACATTTTAAAATCTATTCAAATAGAAAGCAATTTTAAATAGTAAAAATATTTCAACATTTTACTGTTTTTGCTGTACTTTGGATCAAATAAATGCAGCCTTGGTGAGCAGAAGAGAATTCTTAAAAAAAAAAAAAAAAACAACATTAAAAATCTTACTGTTCAAAAACTTTTGACTGGTAGTGTAGGCTGATTATTCTTATAGATTGAAACAAATGTGCTTCAGCCAGAAAAAAGGGTATGAAAAGTGCTCCGAGTCGCTGCAGAAAACCAAAAAATTGAACAATAACAAAAACTGGAAATGTTGCTGGAGATGGGCTTATTTAAAATGAAAACTCATTCTCTGGCAGCAGGAGGCGCTTTTAGAGTGATAAAACTAGCGGTTTCTCCAGTAATGGCTGTAATCAAAGCAGCTCCGCTCATGAACGCTTCTTTATCAGATCAAATGAAAATGCCATCGAAACTTTTCTGAAGACAGTCAATTCCCTTCAGAGATACATTCATATAAAACACCCGCGCCGTGTTATGATTTTGAAATGTGCAGTGCTCATGTTTATTCAACGAAGTCAAACGGCACAAATAAATCAATGTATGGGAAACACTGGTAATGTATATCGAAATATCGGAAATGTGTTTAAAAATCATATCACCGTTATTGAAAAAAATTATATCGCGATACATATTGATATTGAATTATTGTCCAGCCCTACGAATATATATGAAATAGCTGTTTTAAATATTTTTATATTTAACATGTTAGTTTATCAGTATGTTTGAAAGTATATTATTTTGATTATTCGTGCTTTCATAGGCTCTCTCGCGCGCACCTGCGCGGTTTAAAACACCACATAGTTATGAAATAGCCTATGATAAGTACAGAGTCTCTCTCTTGCCCCCACCCATGCACGATAATACCATCTATCGCTGGCGATATGGCATTATGTGAGGGTTTTAGTATTTCCTGCAATACCTGAAAGGTTGATGTGAGTAAGAGAGTCTCTGGTCGTGGTGCCGGCTGCCGTGAGGATATTCACACTCTGGTCGGTGATGTGGTTACAGTAACTAAGGTCCAATTGGGACAGTGAAGGCATATGTTTTATGATCAGCTTCAGGGACGCATCTGTGATGTCCAGACCAGCTAGACAGAGATTCTCCACGTTCCTCAGTTTACTTCTGCTGTCCAACTGACCTGAGAGACAGCAATATGCATCTTTTACCATGTCAGTTTTTAAACAATCTAACAGAAATGTACCTGTACTATCTGCTGTGTACACATGGGGGCGCTATGAATTGGCAAAATAAGAGATAAAGAACTTCTAAATGGGTCAAGAGTACATATTGGGCATGAACAGCAATTAATGCTATCATTCAGTACCTGGCCTGTTGTCTGTCGGCGGGGAGAGCAAGTCTCTTATCTGGTTGTCCTTGAGTCCCTCTACCCACTGCACATCTAAAGTTCTTAGCAAAGGACAACTGGATGTGCATAAAGCTGATACAGCTGCCCACGAACAGCCTGCCAGCAACAGAATCCTCAGACCTGTCAGGAAACCAACACAAAGGAGTCATGCAAGTATCAGACATGAGAGTGGAGTTTGCATACATCAGGGATACCCAATCCTGTTGTTGGAGATCTACTTTTATGCAGAGTTCAGTTTCAACCCTGCTCCAAAAAACCTGTTTGCAATTATCAAAAGTTCCTGAAGATATT